CCAAGGAGTGAGCCGGTGTGTACCCGGACGCCCACCCCCAGACACAAAGAACCACCAGCGCACCGACACCTGAGGGAGTCCGCCACCGGCAGGGGAAGTGGTGGTGGGTGGAGATAGGCCTCCAAACCTTGGAGGGCCTGAGGGCCTGAGGCAGAAATCTTCTTGCCGCAAGGACAAAGTTTTGCAACTTCGTTGGCCGTCGTAGCCATGGTTAGCTAGAGGGTCGTGCACGTTAGTGAGACTGACACGGAGTGCGGAGAATATTGTTATTCCTCGCTAACGTGGGGTGAAAAGTGTTGCTACTTTTCTACAGGTATTGCTACCTAATGTGTAAAACCGCTAGCGTCGAAGGGTACTGATACCTGATGGTGAAGCTAGGAGTACCTTTATTAGCAAAGTGTTGCTACTTCACTTTCGGAAAGTATTGCTACTTCGCTGGGTGAAAGTATTGGTACTTGGCACCCGCACTAGCTCCAGAACAGTATTGCTACTGCTTGTATGCTAGTGGACAACTGAAAAGCTGGGAACAAAGCGCCCGGCGACCGAGTTGTTCACTCGAATCTGTGGACAGTTTAGCTTTAGCACCCAATAGCACAGTTGTCTACAAGCTTCTGTGAGAAGCGAGAAGAGGTTTTTGAATGACATCTGACGCTATGTCAGCCTATTATATAGGGAGGCACTGGCCCCTCCTGACATGGGCGTCACCTAGCCAGCCTGTAAGGGCTGGCGTAATGGTATTTGAGCTTCTGATGAGGTCACGCAGGAGGCGTTCCCTTAGTGAGACATGAAACGAATGCTCTGAAAGAGAACTGGATGGATCTGCACATTACTTGACAGCAAAGGTGGAAATGAATGGACTGTAGCTCGACAACATACCTAATCTTCCAAAGTCTCCTTCTCCCCATGTGTACAGCTCTCCATCTTCACTGACTGCAGCACTGTGTCTGTAGCCAGCAGACACACACACCACCACCTGACAAAGCATACAAACGCATTGTAATGTTTGCCGATGCCAGGAAACACTCAAAAGACTGTGTGTTTTCTATGTGGTACAGGAGAACACCAACAAGATAATTCACCACGAGAACTGTTAAATCGTCATCTACTAGCACAGGACTATGAATTTTACAGTTTCTAGAAGTGGAGAAAATAGACACATCATATTTGGACCGTCTAGATTTCACTGCTGCTTTATTGTACTACATGAGTGAAAGTGTATACATCCTACCTTCCCCTGCAGCGGCCCCTGGATAAGTTTTGGGTACTTCTGTGTTGAGCTGTTCCCATGGCCCAGTTTGCCATAATCACCGTCTCCCCAGCTGAATACCTCACCCTCTGTGGTGAAGGCCAGCGTGTGGCCGTCTGATCCCTTGGATGATGACACCTTTTTGATGGCACGGTGGGGTTCAAAGGTCAACTTTTTGAGGGTCGACTGGTTGTTGGAGTCTCCGAGGCCTAGACGGCCATAACTGCCCTTCCCGCAGGCCCGCACAGACCCATCCGAGGAGATCACAAAGGTGCAGTACTGGCCTGCCTCAATCTGAAGAGAATAGCGAAGAAGTTTTGCCTCTGTGGTGGCTACATTTCACTGTGTGTTATACTTGTATAACTATGCATGTGACAAATAAAGAACCTTGAACCTTGAACCTTGAATAAAGAACCTTGAACCTTGAAAGGCTGCAGGCTTACTCAACACCATTCTGCAACTGTTACTGAGCGAGTTAGTGAGTGCTACGGTTTGATGCTGGAAAATATGACAAGGCACTACCCATTAGCCATGCTTCAGTTTAAGCCAACCTTCTCTAAACAGACAGTAACAGTTTCAATCTGCCATCGCTCCATCGCAAACAGCATCTCGTGCCAAAAGTGACACCACATTTTCGATTTTTGTTACTTGGCACATGCAGTGCAGAACAGCTGACTGGTCTTTACCACCATTCTTGTGATATACCACTGGAGGATCTCAGAGATTCTTAGATTAGAGAGACGGGGAAACTGCAACAAACTGTTGTTTCGTGTTTGAACTTGCTTTGCTCCTGGTCTGCTGCATCAGAGCTGCGTGGCCGTTGAACTCACAGTGGATCTGCAGAGTCTAACATAGCCTGCTGCTAAAAGCTGCAGTCCAAGATGTTGGCACTGGAGTCTCTGTGAGACTGCAGACAGCTGAGTCACACTGAGGACCAGAACTACCAGGCTAACAGCAACTGAACTTCCAAAACGAGAGCTTGTACACTCATAGATTGTGTTTTTCTCTCAGTCAGATGAAAATAAATTATAATTTAAATGTCACGTAACTGGGCAACCAGTCTTGTTGGGAAATATTGCAACATGAAATTAATTATAATATTAAACTCAGTAAAACTATAATCAGAATAAAAAAAATTAGAACACAAACAAAAAGAAACCGGGTCTCAGAGTTCTACAAGCTTCTCATGTTTCAGTCATTTGTTTCCCAAAACATAAACAAACCAAGTTGGAAGTAAAATCAGAATCATGTTCACTCCATCATCTCTGGATCCCTGTCTCAATAACAAATACAGTTTTAATCTCTGTGAGAAAACCAGTGACATCTTACATCAAACCATTTTTGTGATCAGTAAAATTAATGCCTCTTTAAAAGACAACATCCAGTTTGCCATTTGAAGCTGATGATAGGTTTCTTAACTTTCTACAAAGAACAGAGTTGAAGAATTATGAAGTTTTACAGTAGAAAGGTTTGCTCTTACTGTTTGTGCATCTGCGAAACTCGAAGCCAGCTTGGGCTGCAGTATCTTCTCTTGTGTTCCCTCCACTAGCTGGTGGCTGCTGTTGCTGCCCCACACATACACTTCACAGGTTTCCGACACCACAGGTGTCTCGCCAGTCTGTATGCTGTCCGGGCTAACACAAGTGCGAGAGTAGTCCGATGCCATTCGACATACCTGGGAGAAAACAAAAAGAGGAGCCATGATACTTATTTCCAGCTGCATAGCTTTATGCTGAAACTCTTCTAGAGTAAGCTTTACTTTTATTATTATTATTATTTACATGATTCACAGCTAACAATAATAGTCCTTTCTTCTCATGGGCTCTCCCTTTCAAACGTTGAGAGCAAAGCCTGAGCTTTACGCTCACAGGAATTCCTCGTACGTACATCAACTTCATAACTTGTGCCACTTCCCCTTTCAGTTGATTCTGTCGGTAAAACATATGTAGTACGGGATGCTGTCCCCCCACGCCCCCTGGCTTTAAGGCAGATGATCTGTAATGACATATTTGAGGTCCGTCTTGCAACCCAAGTTCATATGCTGTTCACTTCAATAAGAACACCTCTGCTGAGTTGAGCTAGCTACTACCAGTTAGCGCTTTTGTCCACTGATTTTAAGCTAGCTCAACTGCTTCTAACAGTCTGGCATAAAGCCCAGACACACAAAAATGTACTTTTGCTGCCTCAGGGTGTAACTCCCAGTTGTACATGGTATAATTGGTCTCTGAACCACTTCAGCTTTTGCTGGTCCATCAGCCAGCCGTGGAGAAGAGCGAAGTTATAACATACAAAGACCTGAGTGTTAAAAACAATAAACTCTGTCCTCTGCAACCACTGTCTGTGCTTTTTATACTTGTTTTGATCTTTGAATTTTTCTCCTGTTCCCTCCTGCTTTGCTTCTATTGGTCAGTTGAAGGTACGTCCACAAGTAACCCATGCTTTGCTTGGCTGCAGCACGGCTTTCAGTCACAGTGACATCACCATTAGCAGTTCTTATAAAGCAATTTTCTACTCTATCTGAACACTCAAACCGCTTTACGGAGCTTCACCAATTCACACAAGCACTGTTTTCTATGCAAGTGCTTTCTATCCAACTTTCACGAAGAACGGAAAACAACTCATGTTAGTATGTTGCCTAAAGATATTTGCCATGAAGGCCAGAGCACCTAGGGATTGAACCACAGATGATCTGCTCTACTCTCGAGCTACAGCCACACAGTTTTGTTCCCTGTTTTCCAGTGAGTTGTCTGTTCTTTCGCTTATTCGCTAACATAAACTAATGCAAGTCTATTGTCTGCAACTAACCAACCCGGTGATGGTGGTTACTGGTCTGCTGTTGACATCTCAGCACCAAAAGGAAGAAATGAAAAGCAGTTTTGAACTAACTTGCAAACACAGAAATGTGTTAAGCTTAAGTTTAACGTTTCCAGTTGTATTGCCAGATCACTTTTAATTTAAAAATAGCATAGCATCTTTATTTATAACGCACTTTACATCCAACAATGTTGACCAAAGTGCTACAAATATAAAACAGAGAGGAAACAGTTTAAATTACATGTAAAATATCTTAAAATTAAAAATAATATAATTAATAAGAAACATATTAAAAGACATCAACAAGTCCTGCTGTGCTGAAAGCCAAGGTAAATAAATATGTTTTAAGACGTGATTTAAAAACAGATAAGGAAGGTGCCTGTCTAACATGTAAAGGCAACTTATTCCACAATTTTGGTGCTGCCACAGCAAACGCCCGATCCCCTCTGAGCTTACGATTAGTCCTGGGCACGCTCAGGAGGAGCTGGTCTGCCCACCTGAGGGACCGGGAAGGTATGTATGGATGAAGAAGCTCAGAGAGGTACACAGGGGCAGCATTGGACAAGCATTTAAAAACAAATAAAAGCAGCTTAAAATGGATGCTAAAATGCACGGGCAGCCAATGAAGTGAATATAAAACTGGGGTGATATGCTCGTATCTAGGAGTGCCAGTTAAAAGGCGTGCAGCAGCATTCTGGACTAACTGCAGTCGAAAAACAGAAGATCGACTCACCCCAAAATAAAGAGAATCACAGTAATCCAGCCGAACGGTTACAAAATACCCAAACTGTATTAAATAGTCAGCTTTTGTTGCTTAATGGTATAGTAGAAAATATGGCAACAATGCTCTTAAGTACCAGATTTTTCTCCTTAAGTAAGGGTCCATCAGAGATTTAGTTTTCCTGGTAGTTCATCAGAGCTCTGTGTCACTTGACCTCTTGGCATTGTGTTTCTATCAAGAGCATGACTCATTTCTTTCACTAAGTAAACTTTCACAATTATTCGTGTTAGAATTTGGTTAAATCAAAACAATAAACATGTTTATGTTTGTGTGACAAAAATATGTGACAAAAATATTGTTGTGCATTCTGTTTTACAGTTAACACTCTCAGTTACAAATCCAATGCACCAGCAGCCTGCTTTCAGTCACAGTGACGTCACCATCAGCACTTCTGTAATTGGTATGTTAAGTGCTTTGGAGCTACAAGTTACCATCTTTGATAAAGTGGAGTGCTAGCTGCTGTAGTGGAAGATGCAGCCATAAACACAGACATACAGCTGCTAGTTTAGGGCTGTGCGATAAGACGAAATATATCTGATGATGATATATCGAATAAGCAGCAAAAAAGAGCCGTCAGCTTCTCAAAATAAACCACAGAGTCAAACGTTAGAAGAGGTTTTGGTCCATGGTATGCCATTTAATAAAGGATCATTTCTTCATGAGAGACTGAACCCTCTGCAATCGATGTACAGGCTTTTTTTTAATATATATATTGCTATCGGGACAAGAAACCACTTATATCGGGATATAAGATTTTGGTAATATGGCACAGCTCTGTGCTAGTTAACTGTAAGAAATTCACTTAATCAACAGTACATGAATTTCAGTCCCCAAAACTAAGTCAGCAAGAAGCATTTTAATTCCATTAAAAATACTCCAAAAGGCACCAGCGCTACAAAACAACTACAGCTTCCTGTGGCAGCACTCCGGTATCCAGATTCATGAATTAATAAACAGAGTATGTTGTTGGTAGTTGTTATGAAGAAGGGTGACAGAGGCCAAAGCTGTTTTATTTCACCAGGCTATAAACATGTTTATTTCTGCTGTACAATAAAGACTCCCATGTTGTGTTCACTGTATGATATTGACTACAATAAATCCACAAAATCATTAGCAGTACTTTCGGCTGCTTGAGGGGCACCACATCAGATCCGGCACAGATTTTAGGCTCTCCCTGGAACAACCCTCCCACTAACCCAGGAGTGGGAGTGGCATCAGGAGTGCACCAGCTGACACTACCCTGTGGCTGGGTTTGTGTCTCCTCTCGGTCTAGAAACTTCTCATATCATGTGAAGCAGTTAACACGACACTATGGAAGCCCTGCTTTCAAAGTCATCCTATCATGTGACCCGTTGAGTAGGAATGGGAACTGAATTTATAGATTCTGATTGCATTATTAATATCACTTCACATTAGATTCACATTAGGTTCTCATTGGCCCCACTGAGAGTCACCAACATCTCTAAGCAACATTTTAAAGATATTACATTTGTTCAAAGTAAATGCGTGCTGTATGGTTAAATGTTTGTGCATATTTTGAGATATTTCCCCTCTTTGCTGTGATCACCATTCGAGTTGTTACTCAAAAAAAACAAAACAATGAATTATACATTACTCATTACTTTTCTCAAAAGTAATACAGTACATTACTTAATTACCGACCAGAGAAAGTAATTCATAAACCTACAGGCTACAGTTCCACACACCAACAAAAATCCTCATTCTAATGAAGACACACATGTGATCTTTCTCTCGGTATGAACACAAATAAAGATGAAAACAGCTCAAAGCGACTGCCACAGTGATTCTACTGCAGAAAAATAAGCAGACAGAAACTGAGGATCTGAGCCTGGCTGATAATTACTTCTTTTGTTACCTGTTGAAGTTCAGGGTCTGACTGCTGGGCGGGTGTTGACATTTACTCAGCTTGAACACCACTCTGGGTTCCTGGCGAGCTTAGCATTAGCATTAGCATTCTGTCTGAGCGGATGCTTGCAAAGAGCCGAAGTTGTGCTATGCAGTCGCCTCTGTCCTGGGTGCAGTATCCACTATACTTTCGTGCTCTCGTCCTTTTTTGCAATTAAAATTAAAGTAATGTCCATATCCAGCTGTAGACTGCGCCACTATTTTCTTCCTCTGACACACGAATTGAAATCAGTTGATTGTAGCACAAGTGCAAGTAGGACCAAAAAGCACAATCAATGGGAAAACGAACAATTCCAAGGAACTGAACTGCTGTGGTTCTTGATTTCCATCCCTACTTGAGGTCACCTGACACAAGATGTGAGTGAAGGTTGAGGAGCCTGAAGTCCAGTTGCTTTCTTTTCACTCAGGATTTCAGTATTAAATATGAATATGAATATTTTTGCCAGAGTGGAACAGAACTACCCAACTCAACACCAAAAGTAAACAATTTAGTTACTGCCATTATAAGGTGCTATTTTTGGCGCAATAATACAATTTCTTAAAAGATAAAAATGTGCTTGCTTACTTCTTCAAAAAGACAGAGTGCCGCCTCATATAATGAACACAAGCCATCAGAGGTCCGTGTGGGTTCTCGCCACTGGCTACGATCTGCTGAGGAACCCTGGAAGAAGACAATTCAATGATGAGAACACTCAAAGCTTCAAAGCATGGACACTGCACCTAATACCACTCAAACTGTTGCAGAATACCATTTCTTGTAGAGATGAGGAATGACATGCATATATTACCAGTTCTGACTGGATTTATAATACTAAAAATTAATAGGTACATTGTTAACATTTACTTACCAAAGAGCGCCTCATCTGCATGAGGATGTTCATGAAACAATCATAGCTAATGAGGCCTTCTTGGTTCTGTAGCAACTTATTCTGCTCCATCGTACTGACCACAGCTGACGCAGCCAAAGCCATCTCAATCCACTCCAGCAAGTAGCGCAGAGAACCCCTCTGTGAAGCCAGCCCCAGTAGTAGTTCTGAGGCCAGCCGCCGCCCTAAAATATCTGCCCCAGAATTTGGCATTGTCACTCCCTTCAGAAAGGTGGTAACCTGGGACAGGCAGTCCAGTCCCATTGGTGGGATCTTGCTCTCATTGGCAAGAGAGAGTGCTGGCAGGGAGCTAACAACATCAATGGCTGTGTGAATGACATCATTACACAAGTTTATGTTGCTCCCAGGATTTCCACCTGGGTTCGGTGCAGTAGGCATCATCCAGCTCTGGCGCAGCAGAGCAAAGAGAAGGCTCAGGCCAGTGCGAACACCCATCTCAATGAGGGCGTCAGTGCTGGACCGTGGCCGCTCACTGACAGAGTGCAGATCAGCCGAACCCGAGTTGTTCTCCAGTGAGTGCTGGTGCTGCTTAACCTTGCCCTTGTCATGATACTTGTTGGAAAGTGCGTAGAAGACGCGTTGAAGCACCAGCACACGTTTCCGCAGAGCGGCAGCAAACGGGGAATCGGAGCACACCATCTTGGCCAACGCCAATTGGCTGCTGAGCAGAGCATCCAGGTAGTGCTCCTGCTCATCACTAGAGAGGGACTCGCGCTCAAAGTCTGGGAGCTGGGGGCCCTTCAGACACAGCACCTGCTGGGGCAGCAGTACAACCTCTTTGTTGGCCAGCAGCTTTGAGTAGAGCACAGAAACTCCCTCCCGTGTGGCTATGGACTCGCTGTCCTCGGTAATCCATGAGCTGTTCAGGTGCTCCAGCCATTTCAGTTTCACAGGGGGGATCATTAAAGCCATGGCATGTTACTCTGGAGCCATCAGTCCTGAAAACACGGAGTGGGCAAAACGTTAACATTAAATCTGTTTCGATTAAATTTATATATGTACCCTCTTATAGAACAGCTATCAGAGAACAGTCGTGTTGATATGACCCATTGTAAAATAATAAATTGGACATTGATTGCATTCATCACTACTGCTGTTTGTGAAGTTTAGTTGTACATTTGAGAATAAAGTCAGCCTGACATGTTTGAAACACTATATTCCATTTATTTATTTATAAAGCACATTTAATAACAACAGAGAGTTGACCAAAGTGCTGTACAAAGTAATAATTAAACAGTGTCATTAACATCAACAACGGGTAAGAAAATTAAAAGAAAATTAGGATAAAAAGAATTGGTAACTCTCATGCAGTATCAAAAGCCAAAGAGAAAAAATATGTTTTAAGATGAGATTTATAAAGAGTGATAGTTGGGGCCTTTCTAATGCGGAGAGGTCGATCGTTCCACATTTTCGGCGCCACAACCACAAACGCCTGATCCCCTCTATGAACCATTCTAGACTTGCATAAATGATCACTTGATCGAAGGCCTCTAGAGGGCGTATAAAGCTGCAAAAGGTCAGACAAATAGACTATAAAGGTGTTCTGTTATAATTAGGGCTGCAATTATTCTGAAATCGAGAATTAAATAGCAATACAAACATCTACTATACTGCATTATGGTTCCATCTTACTGTAGCTGGGTCGTGTTTGGCGGCTTGGTCTTTTGGACTGAGCAGCCTAGTGCATCCTATACTGCTTTAGAACAGATGGGGATCTGAGGAATTTAAAGAAAGCTTTTGGTTATTATGTTCCTCAAGCCCATCCTGGGCAGTTTTGTGTTGTCTGCAGGGGGGGGGCACTGATGTCAGGGAGTGGCCTGGTTCATGTCAGCATAACATCCACAATGGCTAGGATCCAGTGTTTCCCAGCAATGTGCCAAGATAATCAATATTTGCTTCAAATCTCTGTGGTTTAAAGGCTGCAGCTGATCTGTGTAGAAACATGAATCAGAAACTAAATAAGCTACAATTCTGGAATGTCGTCACGGTATATTTCATTGCAGTATGGCATTTTTTCATTATATTTGATTTACATGGTCATTTCTTTACATTTTTAAGATTAGAAAACTTCGAAATGTATGCTAACTAAGACACACGTGAAGGGTTACGTGAATTTTATAAAGTTTTCTGCTGTAGTGTAGATAACCAGTGTCAGGTCATGTAATCGTGGTGAACATGCAGACAGCACTTAGATGTTCAGATACCGTTAACATAGAGCAACGGCCGTGTTAACGCTGCTTTATTGTAGCTTCTAAGGTTAACAAACAGCTACCCGCCGGATGATACTTAGGTGTGACACCGCTGGCTTGAATGACGAGCGGTTTAGTAACTTGTTTCTTGTGTCAGATTGGAAAGGCTGTTTTTCTGCAATGATAATCACCAGCAGCTAATAGTTTCACAAAGTGACAGCACTGCAGAGGGCTGTCAAAGTAACAGAAATGGCAGTAAGCTTAGCAGCACTGCTAGCGCTTGCGTCAAACCACAAGCTACATGTTAGTGGTTAGTTTTGAGACGAGGCAAAACAAAACAAAACAGAAACAACTATCGACCGCTGCTACTGTCGGTGATTGTAGCTAACTTTCTTGACGACCCTCAGTTAGCCAAAGGTTAAAATACCTAAACGTGACATCTTCATGCGCGGGTGTAACGGGGGGTAACAACCTAGTTATGAGCATCCATAGCTGTACATAAAGCACAGGTTTGTGAGAGGTGAGCTATTTCGGCCAGTATCAGCCTGGCTTATCTGCTGTATCATCAGCGCCGAGTGTGTTAGCTTGCTAGCTACAGCTGACTAACGCTAGCTGGGGGAAAAAAGCTCGCTCACCAGTATAGCGAAAGGCCTCCTTTTCTCTGTGCGGTTACACAACAATCCAACTGAGCTTCATTTCAAGCAAAAGCAGTATGGTCAATGCCGTGGCGGTAACGTTAACGTGAAAAGAGACAGTGGCATGCAACGATTTCCATGCCTCCGCCCGCCTCGTCCTGCAGCGAGTGAATCCTGCAAGCGGCAGTGTGTTCACTGTCAACCCCGTACAGAGCCCCAGCCCCGGGCTATGACGCTGAGACCTGTCTATCTCTCTATCTGCCTGTCTGCTTCTCTAGTTGTCTGATTTTCGTTTGTCTGGTCAGTATGTTCCCTGTGTTTTCTCTGAGTGCCCATGTGCTCAAAACCATCAGCAGTAACGCACAGTAGCTCACGGCCACAGAGACAAAGAGCTTCATGACAGTCTTCGTGGTCAGCTGATTTCGATGCCATGTCACTTTTAATTATCATTTATGGTACAGGCCTCACCCTGACAGCGTCATTCTGTTCTGTACCATTACAGGTCAAAGCTGCTATCACAAAAATACTCTTAAAACTCAACCTTACTGTGAGTGTTTGAATAACTTAAAACTCAAACCCAAGTAAATGAAGACGCACATTTTAAATATGTTTAGCTCTTGTCTTGAAACATTTCAAGTATAATTGTTATCTATATTTATTTATTTATTTATTTACTTATTTATTTATTTATTGTTGTTATTTCTGATCGGATTACCTATATACTGTATATTGTAAACTGGTCAAGCAAATTAAAGGAATACTTTAAGTGAGGGAAAAAAATCATTCCTATGTAGATATTGGGTGATGTGTTGAGAACAAAAGGATGTGGTATCATTTGATGAAAATGTTCAACCTACAAAGGGCTGCATTCAAAGACATGCCAAAAATGAAAGTGAAACAAAAAAATATGTTCCAGGCTAAATCATTCTGCAGAAATTTCAGTACAACTCTATGGCTTCCACACACTTGTATTCATGCCTTCCAATGTCTGGTCATGCTCTTAATGAGACAATGGATGATATCCTCAGGGATTCCTCCCAGATTTCGAGCAGGGCATCACTGACTTCCTGGATAGTCTAAAGTGCAATCTGGCGCCATCAGATGGACCAAAACATAATATTCCAGAGGAAGCAGGAAGTCAATGGTATCGATTCCTTCATTCTCCAGGAAATATCTGCATAGTCTTGCCACATGAGGCTGGAAATTGTCATGCAGCAGGAGGACCCACTGTGGCAATATAGGAACATTAAATCTGCTTAGCCAGAGGTTGTTTGGTTTGGTTTGCTTTCCCCAATGTATAAATCCTGGCAATCCTTCTGGCACTTCATACACTATATTACTCTGTTTGTGTTGGGGGACCTGATCCTTGGGGTGGATCAATTTTTGGTGCAGCGTGTTTTGGGGTTTAAAAGCCACAGATGTGCTGTGTTTAGAAAAAATGCACCTCAACTGTGCCGATACTCCAGACACTATGGGATCACTAAGGGTTTTCAATTAGTAGTTGTCCTTCTCTCCTGGATCAGCTGGAGCTTTCTTTAGGTTCCTTCCCAGATATTTATACATCGGGGAAACCAAAAAACCTCTGGGGAAGCGAATGGCACAACACAGAAAAGCTAACTCTAGCCAGGACTCTGCAATCTGTTTACACCTACAGGCCAGTGGACACTCTTTCAGTGATGAGGATGTACACATCCTCAGCCTATTAATTAATGAAAGACCAAGACAGACTTTTAATTCA